AAACACACAGATGAAATGACAGAAATTGCCGGTAGATGAGAGATAAGGGTGTGTGTGCAAGAAGTGTGTGTGTGTGTGTGTGTGTGTTTGGGTGTGTGTGCAGGCAAGTCAGACTGACAAACAATTTAATGGTGGATTTACCGAGACAATGACAAGCAGGAGTTCATATTTCAACATCCTATCAATGCCATGCCGTGCTCGTGTAAAATTAATTTGCGAGTGGAAAGAAAGAAATGAACGTCACTGGTTCTCTCGCTCTGCGTTTATTTTTTCTTTTCATTACACACGCCATTACCTCGTGCCCAAAAACGTGTCTGCTTCGTCCACCATCCATCATGTGTTCCCAAACCAAATTACACATACAGACACAGGAGATGGAATCTGAGGGATGCCACTTAATGCATGACCCTGGTTTACATTCAGAGTAAAGCCCACAGACACTTAACCCTTTAAAGCCCGATCCAAGAATAAAACAAAACAGAAAATTACTTTTTTTTGGTTTGAATTCCTTATTTGGCCTTTTAACAAAATATGTAAAAAGAAAAAACGGAAATACATTTTTGATATTAATCATTTATTACTATGCGATAAGTCAAGATTATGTTTTGTGTAGTCTTCTGCCCGCTGTTATCAGGTGTATCTGATTGTGTACAATAGGATTTTGAGCAGTTTTTACAATTAAATTATGCAAAAGGTGTCAGACGCAAAACATTTCAGAAACCGTACGAATCAAATATGATACATTTGGCATTATAGGGTTAACAGCAAACACGATAACAGGAATAGTCCATGGATGCCGATAAGCTTTTGCAGCTGAGGGATGTTTTGTGGAGTTTTCTCACTTGCTTCTGCAGCTTTAGCTTCGCTTTACACTCTTAAAAGTCAGAGCTGCTGCATCTGACTGGAAGTGTGATTCACAAAATGATGAAGTCATCTCATGATAGAGACATCTCATGACTAATAGTACACAGCACCTGTCAGTCCAGTCTAAAACCATCAGGTCTCCTTTTCTCTCTTTCGGTGTTTGAGATAGCTTTGTTTTTGTTTATTTCTCATTTAAAAGAATAGAAGAAAACCCAAAACACTGTATATACACTTTCTCAGATTCATATATAATCTTATTTACATTGAAGACTTTTCTTCCTTCACTTATTTGCATCACCTTAGAACACATTCACACATTGGCAGTTTGGGCACACCTCAGGAAAAGAGGGGGCTGTTGCCTTAAAAATAGGGAAATGGGCCAACTCACACCTATCAACGGGAGATTAAACTAACACTAACCAACAATGGCCGTCACTCGGATGGTTACGTGGCATCGGCTTTATGATGTTAAAGACACAAAGACAATGAGGAACAGTGGCAATTTAAAAGGACGGACCTTTTCAGAGCAAGTATGAAACACCACTATGTGTAAGCAGCCACAGGCGCTTACTAATGAGAGGCCTTAAAGAGACAGTGTCCCAAAAAGAGGACCTGCTCTAAAAAGAAAATACATTAATAGAAGGGCGGATTTTTCTTAACGGTAACTAATTTCAACCTTTTTTTGGTGCATTCCCAAAATAGAAATGTACATTTGAAGCTTTGGATACTGTGGGCCCTTATGTATGAATATAAGAACATACCATTTTAGCATGCTTTAGTTTCCCTCAGTCACTCAGTCACCCAGACCCAGTGCTTGTTGCTCATCGAGGCTTGAACTCTCTAATGATGAAGACAAATGAGCTCATTATCGAGTGTTTTCATGCATGTTCTCTGTGTGTGTGTGTGTTTGTATTCGGTAATACGTAGCAGACTAACAGATCTTTACACGAGTGTTGTCCCGTTTTCAGGTTGCATTGATGTTAATAGACGTTTATCTGTTTACAGATTCTAACCATAGCCCTTTCTCTTGAGGCTAATGCCTCCATTTAGCTTAAATCAGAGTATTTTCCCTCCTTTAAAACCAACTCTGAGGGGTATTATTGCTTATGAATGCACTGAACAATGATAAGCCTTCGTACTAATGAAAAGGAAGAGAAAGGAGCTACTTACTTTGTGCTGCCCAATGTCATAAGCCAGGGTCTCATCAACTGAGAATAAATGCTGTTAACCTGCTCCTCGGTCTGTTCAGTGTAAGAGCAAAGCTTTCACAGAGAAGAGAAGAAAGCAAAACTGTCGGTAAAGTCACGTGAAATGTGATATAATGAGATTTAACACAGGATTTAGGACTGTGCATATGGGATGGAGCTGCAGTACCAATGCTGACCATTAGGGGGTGCTAAGAGACAAAGGGGCAACTGGAAACTCCTTCAGGTAAAAAAACTGTGGAGCAGATTGATTTTTTAAATCACAAAACCTCTTAAAGAAATGCTGGTATAACATTAAACTTTCAAGCTTTTATGAACGTCTCCACTTTATTTATCAGCCACTGATCACAATGTCACCATAAGAAATCCACTTCCAACAGGAAACCACATTTGGGATGTGATTATTGTGATATGCACACACACACGTCCAGTAACAAACTTAAATACAGTATTTTTTTCACAAAATAAAATGAAAGGGACACATAAGGAGGAATTAAGACATGCAGTGACAAATATAAAAAATAGACATTTGATTTGTTTTTCTGTACAAACATATATCGACACATATAAATATATAGCAGTAAAAAAAGTGTATTTTTAAAATACAAAGGTCAAATTGTACAGTTACATTCCATAATAACAAAACAGGAGACATGGCACAATATTCAAGTGAGATTGCCTTTTTCCACAGACACTGTACAATATTTTATCCTGTAAAATCTGAAATAAGATCACACAACAGTTGGTTTCTCCAAGTTTGTTCACACGGCTGTAAACATTACAAATGGAAACAAGGTACATCTTTTTGTTGATGGGAAATCAGTCTGGAATCAGTCTTTCGAGCTTCTCTCACAGAGACCGTGACGACTCGCTTTGTCTTTGATTCTCCAAAGTCTCCTCGTGGTTTCAGTGCAATATCTCTCCTGTCATCAGTTGGTCTCAGAAATGAGAGAACAGGAGGGAAAGTTTCAAAACAAACAGGACAGTCACGTCTGGGGGAATGTCTGGTGTGTTGTCATGTGTTGATTACCTATTGTGTTCACCTGGGGTTCCCCTCCCTCATGTGTTTAAATAGTCCTCGTTTCCCATGTCCTGGGCCAGTGCGTTTTCGTCCTTGTTTCGACTTTCTGTTTTCGTCACCCCTCGCCTCGTCAGGTTTGATTTTAGTCACAGCCATGCCATAGCCTAGTTTCCTTTATTGCCATAGCCTTTGTTTTTGCCATAGCCATCTTAATCTTGTTTGTACTTTGCCATAGCCACGTTTTTTTTCACAGCCATGTTAATCTTGTTTGTACTTTGCCATAGCCACGTTTTTTGTCATAGCCACGTTTTTTGTCACAGCCATGTTTTTTTTCACAGTCATGTTAATCTTGCTTTGTTACTTTGTCCATAGTTTTTTATCACAGCCTTGTTTTGAACTTTGTCAGCATCCACTCCGTTTGAGTGCGTTTTTGTTCCAATAAACCCTCGTTTCGCATATCTCCGCGACTGAGTCCTCCCTCTAAGATCCACCCTCCTTGACAAGGACGCCGCCACAAAGTGAACGAGAACGGACCATGAGGAGGTGAAACGCTTCAGTCCTAGTTCTGGCGGACGTCCTGCAGGAGTTTGTTGATCTCGTGGGCCAGTTCGCTGGAGTCTATTCCGGCCTCGAGGCGGCTCTGGTGGAACACCCCGTCGAAGTCGTCCTCCTCGTAATTCTCCGGGATTTCCTCCATGGCCGGCAGCCATTTTAGGTGCGGCGGCTGTCCGGCGGGAGCCGAGGAGGAGGAGGAAGAGGAGGAAGAGGATGAAGAGGAGGAGGTGGGGACGTGGTTGGCCGCCATCGATCCGCTTCCGGGGTTCAGATAGTGGGTATTGGCAGCCCAGGCGGCCACTCCTGGGGGGTAAACAGGACCTTTACCACCTGGCAACAGGCCCCTGCGGTTGTCCTGGGGAACGGCGTTGTTGTTGCCATGGTTACCGGCGCGTCCGCTCCCTTTCTCTATGGCGGCGGAGGAGGAGGATGAGGAGGAGGGAGGGGGGAGACTCGTTTCGGTGCACTCGGCGTAGGAGTCCATACTGGGGGGCAGCAGTCGCTGGAAAACGGAGTTCATCTCGGTGAGGAGGGAGCCCGCCCCCCCCCCCCCCCCCCCCCCACCCCCCCCCCCACCCAAAAACCCCCCCCCCCCCCCTCCCCCTCCTCCCCCCCCGGTGACCCCCAGATCCTCGGGTCCACTCTCTTTGCCGAAGGTGGAGAAGCTCTTGCGCTGCTCGGAGTCCAGGGAGGACTGGTCGTCGTCCACCGGGGGGGGGGGGCTGCTGGGAGGACTCCTCCCCCGGGATGTACATGTTGTTCCGGTAGTCGGCGGGCGAGGAGAGGGGGGGCATCCAGCACTGGTCCGAGTGGCCCAGGATGCGACACTCGTCCGTGCACAGTCTCATGGCTGAAACAGACACAAGAAAAGAAAAGGGGAGGAAAAAACATGAGTTGAGGTTAGCCAACCGAACGGGAACGTTGGGAGAGTTTAAGACCTGGAAGTGTGCTACCAGGGCAGGAAAACTTTTCATGTTGGTGGGAATTGTATGGTTTCTGTAGTTAACTTCAGAGCTGTGAGACAACTGTTGTTGTGATGTGGCGCTATACAAATAAAATTGAATTGAATTGAATTGAATTGAATTGAGTGGCCCAGGATGCGACACTC